CATGATATATATTTATATAAAGACTGTACAAAGTGACCAACAATGCTACAATCACAATAAGGGAAAAGAACAACAAGTAACAACGAAAATATTAAAAATGATGACACATAAGAACGGCAAAAAAAAACTCATCCCAAATCCTACAGCCACAATACAGAAAAGGGAGAACAAAAAAATCACTCAGCTCTTACGATGGTGTTCACATCAGGTCTTATCCAACAGTTACCACGAATTTACCGAATCTCGGACAATTACAACTCACGAGTCCCAGTACTTGAAATCTAACCACTGGCATCCCGTGCCCTCATCGGCCTCACGGTCACCCTGACAACTCACCTCACAACTTCCACGAGACAAAGTTCATATAGGTAAACGTACCATAATTACAACATTTGAACAAACAGAAATGCCCTCAGGCCATCACAAATACTCACAATCAACCCCTGACATAGCCCACCTTGTTCCGCCACGTGTGCAAATAATAACATAATAAGTGCCCCGCCTTGTTTCGCCACACGTGCATCATAATGTTCCCACCTTATTTCACCACATGCGCAACCCACATATAAGCATATCTACATATCCCGCCTTGTTACGCCGCATGTGCAATATATCAATAGTAGCAATAGCACGGCAAAAACCTCGTGCGACCCCACAACAACAACTGCACGGCAGAAACCTCGTGCATCACAATATCAATAACCGCACGGCAGAAACCTCGTGCATCAACACCCCGAGCACAACATCAACAATAACAATATATATACAAGAACACAACAAGTGAATCAACTCAACAAGGGAGAAAATAATATGAAGCAACGACCCCATAGCATGTAGTTCAACAATAAGGGAGTTAACAAGAGTCAAGTAAATTTCAAATAAGGAAATATCAACTAAACATAGAATATTTACTCTTCTTTCAAAAGGTTGGGCAGGTTACGAAGGATATACAATACTTTCAATTAATAATTACATGGGTGATAATAATGATTTCCAATAAAACAAGCAGTTATGAAAGTTAACGCGACAATAGAGGAAAGATCTCCAGTTAAGCAAATGTAAGAGTCAATTAGGCAATAAGAATGAACCATAAAGCAGTTTATTCCAAGTAAAACATGTATAGGTAAAACTAGTAATAGGGAATTCAATCATATCGAGAATAACTTTATACTCAGTGAATATAAGGACCTAAGAATCCTAAAAGGCCAAGTTTCCACAAATAAGTCCGAGCACGCACTCGTCACCTCGCGTACTCGGATTACAATCAACAGAGAAGACTCAAATCCTAAGGGGAAGTCCCCCACACAAGGTTAAGCAAGATACTTACCTCGAACCGGCTCAAATCAACTAGAAACCACGTTCTTGCCATGAGAATCCGACTCCAAATGGCTCAAATCTATTCGATTCAATTACATATCGTAAATAACATCTCAAGCAACTGATTCTACGATTTAATTCAAAGCTAAGACGCGAAGTTAGGTAAAATGACCAAAATGCCCCTCAGGCCAACATCTCGGAATCGGGTGAAATTAACATTTTCAGAACCCTCGTACTCTCACGAGTCTAACCATATAAAAATCTCCCAAATCGGATGTCAAAAACCCACTCAAAACTCAATAATTTGGTCTATAAAGTTTCATCAATTTTTCATTCAAAATCCGAAATTAAAGGAGGAATTCACGCTTAGATTAGTGGGTTACAACCAAAAAGGAGTTTAGAATCGTTACCCGATCGATGCCCCTGAAAATCCCTCAAAATCTTGCTCACAACCGAGCTCCCAAGCTTGAGTTTTGGTAAAAATGGCTAAATCCTCGTTTTTAAAATGTTATATCTGCCTAGGAATTTAATGCATCGCGAACGCGGAGGAAGTCTCGCGTTCGCGAAGAAGAAAAATGAAGGCTTCTCAATTATGCTTCGCGAACGCGGAAGCTTTATCGCGAACGCAGAAGAGAAATTATTGTCGCCCAGAAATTGCTCTTCGCGAACGCGAAGTAGGAGACGCGAACGCGAAGGGCGAACACTGCAAAGCTACGCGAACGCGACTGAAGGCATGCGAACGCGAAGGGTAAAAAGGTAAATCTTCGAACACAGGGGCATTAACGCGAACACGAAGAAGGATAGGTCTGCAACAGACCTGAAGCAAAAATCTGCAATTTTTAACAACTTAAAATGCTCCGTTGAGCATCCGAAACACACCCGAGGCCCCCAGGACCTCAACCAAACCTACGGACATATCCCATAACATCATTCAAACATGTACCAATCCTTAAACCACCTAAAACAACGTCGGAAACTCGAATTAATCAAGGATTTAAGCCTAAGAACTTCAAATTCCCTCAAAATACGCTTTCGATCAAAAACCTAACCAAAACACGTCCGAATTACCTGAAATTTTTCACACACATCCCAAATGACATGACGGAGCTAGTGCAACTTTCAGAATTCTATTCCGACCCTCGGATGAAAATCTCACTATCGAACCGGAAACTTCAAAATTCGACCCTTCGGCATTTCAAGCCTAAATTTGCTATGGACCTCCAAAACACAATCCGACCACGCTCCTAACCCCTAAATCACCTAACGAAGCTAACGGAACCATTAGATTTCCATTCCGAGGCCGTCTTCACATTGTTCCGACTACGGTCAATCTTCCAATACTTAAGCTCTCATTTAGGGACCAAGTGTCCCAAAACTCTCTGAAACTCAAAACCCAACATCCCGGCAAATCAAAATAGCATAAATGAACTTGGGGATGCAGTTAATAGGGGATCGGGGCATAAATTCCAAAAACGACCGGTCGGGTCATTACAGTTTCATAGCAGACAGTGTTGGTCGCAGCTAGTGGCACATCCTCTTTTCAGCCAACTTGGTGAGCCCCACTTCATTTTGGGGTCCTGTATCATTTGTTCATCATGTACTTGTATTTTGAGGTATAGCCGGAGCCTTGTTTCCGGCATTTCTATACTACTCTTCAGTTGTATTTAGAGGCTCCGTAGATAGAATGTGGGTGGTGTTTGATAATGGGGAATTGAATTAGAATTATTGATATTTGGCAAAGATGTATAAAACTTGTAATATTTTGAAAATTATGAACGAAGTTGCAAATGGAAATGAAATGGAAGTCGTTAATGATATATTTATAGAATTTGATTAATGGTGTACATTTCCTCTTTATTCAAAGACGAATTTGGGTAGAATGAAATCAACCAGGCTTGCTCAGTCGGGTTTACTCGGTTGAGCGCCGGTCGCGCTCCTCGATTTTGGGGCGTGAGAAATTGTTAGTTTAATTACTTGATGACTATAAGTGAAAGTTTATATAGACCTTGTTAGATCGAATCTCAATTCCGTGACTTATTTGGCAGGATAACCGATTGATGGTAGATATCATGTTTAAGTTAATTTCTGACCCATGTATAGTGAATACGCGAGTTGTAAGTCGATATGTTTCTTCTCTTCCGAGGGATCGGGCCGAACGTCTTGGCAGTACATGTATATATGAGATACATCCGTGGATCGGGCCGTACGACCTCGGCAGTGTATGTACACAACTATATGGATCCAGCTGAATGACCTCGACATAATTCAAGCGTAAAATTCCCAGGAGTCTAAATACCCACGAGATTACCCTTTTGATTGAACTTGGAAATTTCATGATATTGTCTTTATGACTCGAGGTCGGATATTTAATTGATGGTTCTTATTTGTTGAGATCGCATGTGGCACTTGGGGATTGTTAAACTGATGATATTTCGTTAACGGATTTTGTTACCTACTGTTTCTTATTCTATTGATCATGTTGTATTTCATGCCTGCTTATAATTCCTGCATTTTATTTATTGAACCACCAGTAAGTGTCGATGTCGACCCCTCGTCACTACTTCTCTAGGGTTAGGCTAGATACTCACTGGGTACGTCGCATTGATTTACGTGCTCATGCTACACTTCTGCACTAAATGTGCAGGATCTAACAGGTTTATTTGATGGTCATCTTGGCGCATAGGCGCAGCTGCTAAGGGGACTTTATGGTGAGTTGTATTCCATGCTACGTATCGCAGTCCATAGAGTCTCCATCACACTTTTTTACTTTATCATGTCTAATTCACATTTTATACAGATGTTGTATTATTTTTCTCCTTAGTAAAGGCCCATGCACTTGTGACACCGGATTTTAAATATTTTAGTCGAAGTTAATAGTTTTACTTTAATGTCGTCACCTTTTATTTTATGTCTTACTAATATTGTACGTACTTATGATTACAAATGCATTAAATTTCATTACATTATATATTTTATGATTTTAAAAAGTAATAAAATAAATAATTATTTAGATGGTTCATCGTTGGCTTGCCTAACGGCGACGTTGGGCATCATCACGAGCTATATTAGAAATTGGGCTGTGACATTATATGTCCACCAAGTAATGCATAATTAGATGAAAATTTTCACTATTTGAACATCCAATAGTTTAGGTGAGAAATCTAACAAATATATGCTTTATAGTTATTAATTTATTATCAGTGAGCATCATACATATCAATAGAATCTTGATAATAAAAGTAAAAAGGTAAAAATGATGCAAAAAATGGAAAAATAGTAAAGGAACATATTTCATAAATCTAAGAAAGTATCAAACAACTAACTATAAGTAGCTAATCTTTTAGTTGGAGTTACCTATTGCGCAAAAAATAAAAGATCTAACTTAACATGGTAATCAAACTAATTTTCTAGCCCAAAATATAAATAATAGAGATGTTAATGTGATTGAAATTTAAATATAACTCTAGTTCCTTTAAAATTGGGAATAACCATATTATAGTATTTTGGACTATTGTAAATCTCTAAAAGAAAATCACATTATATGCAATTCATTAATAAAGTGGAATAAAAAACAGAGTAAAAGGAATATTACCGCCTATAAATAAAGTGACTTTCTCCTCAGAGTTTCTCAAGCGCTAATACTATCAAGCTACCTTCTTTTTCCTTTCTTTAACGCTTTTTCAATGGCAAAAAATAAGAGTCTGAGCCGGCAAAAGGCAGAAATAAAGGCGCTAGAATCTATGGTGGAACACTTAACAGCTTTCGCAAAAACCAAGGCAGTCATTTTCAAAAGAGCACATGAACTTTCTATTACGACGGGGGCCGAAGTTGGTCTTCTTATCTTCTCCCCAAGTGGAAAACCATATACTTATGGATCCCCTCATAATTTTAATGCTATAGCTGATAGGTTTCTAAAACAGAAACTATATGATAGTGAAAATCATTATTCTGATGTAGTTGAATCTAATTCCAATAAGGAATTTGAAAGGTTGATGATACAGAAGGAAAAACTGGAGAAACTTTTGGATATCATTCAAGAAATCCAGAATCGTAGCACAACGGGCAATTCTATTGCTCTTCATCCATCTTCATCTGAAGAACATTGTGTGATGAATGATTTGACTGTTGTTGGTGACCTTGACGACGAGGAAACCTCTGCAGCTGATTAATTTGGAATTAATTGGAGGCCATTATCAATTGTCATCAGAGAAGACTTTATCTAGTTTTGTTTGAGTTTGTCATTTGCTTTATTTGGGATTTTCAGTGATGTCTGTTTGTGCGAGTCTTTTTGTCAGTCCATTATTATCCTTTGATATTTAGTCGTCGAATAGTTTGTCGTCGTGTCTTTAGTCATCTATTTCTTCATGGTCTTAAACTATGGATAGAAGGTCTTATGTTGTTTCAGTGTTTTATTTGTTTTTCCTTATGAGGATATTATAATAAAATAAACTCTTCTATGTTACTGATTCTGACCGGTAAGACGCAGAAAGAATGTGTGATTTTACTTAGTAGTAGATGGAATTGCTCTTCTGAACAATTGAGCGACTTCTCTGCAATCTCTATGAATTGGCAAATTTATTATGGATAACACGTTTTTCGAATGTAATGACCAAGGACGATGGTCGTCTACTATATATGGGATTGGTAGAATCCATTAGTTTTGGCTTAAATTATATGTTTTACAACAACAACAACAACAGCGACCTAGTATAGTCCCACAAGTGGGGTCTGGGGGTAGTGTGTACGCAGACCTTACCTCTACCCCGATGGGGTAGAGAGGCTGTTTCCAATAGACCCTCGGCTCAAGAAGACCAAAAGACAAAAAGAGAAAATATATCAGTACCATCATAGAAATAATAACACAACATAAGAACCAGTGAATAGATGAAAGGCAGAAATAATGACCAGTAAATAATGCACGGCACTATGAAAACGGAAGAGTAGTGTAAACATAGCTCTGACCACTAGCAGCCTAAGACTAAATCCTATCAGCCTAACCTCACATTGGAAGACTAAATATGCTCAACTACCTCCTAACTAACAACCTTAATGCTCGACCTCTACAGCTTCCTATCGAGTGCCATGTCCTCGGAGATCTGTAGTTTCGCCATTTTCCGCCTGATCACCTCTCCCCAATACTTCTTAGGCCGCCCTTTACCTCTCCTAGTATCCACCAACAACACCGTTCGCACCTCCTTACTGGGGCATCCAAGCTCCTCCTCTGAACATGCCCAAACCATCTGAGTCTCGCTTCCCGCATCTTGTCATCAATAGGAGCCACGCCCACCTTCTCCTGAATATCTTCATTCCTAATCTTATCCATCCTAGTGTGCCCGCACATCCACCTCAGCATCCTCATTTCTGCTACTTTCATCTTTTAGGTATGTGAGTTCTTAACTGGCCAACACTCAGCCCCGTACAACATGTCTTGCCTAACCACCGCTCTATAAAACATACCTTTGAGTAGCAGAGGCACTTTATTGTCACACAGGACTCCAGATGCTAACCTCCATTTCGTCCACACACCCCTATACGGTGTGTGACATCCTCGTAGATCTCCCCATCCCCATGGATAACTGACCCAAGGTACTTGAAACTACCTCTATTGGAAATGACCTGCGATCCAAGCCTCACGTTCATGCCCTCTTCCCTCGGCTTGGCACTGAACTTACACTCAAGGTATTCTGTCTTCGTCCTGCTCAACTTGAAATCCTTTGACTTTAGGGCCTGTCTCCAAACCTCCAGCCTCTCGTTAATGCCACTCCGTATCTCGTCAATCAGAACAATGTCATCATCGAATAACATACACCATGGCACCTCTCCTTGAACATGGTGTGTCAATGCATCCATCACCAGAGCAAACAGGAATGGGCTGAGCGCAGATCCTTGGTGTAACCTCATAACAACCAGAAAATGCTCGGAGTCACCTCCCACTGTCCTAACCCGAGTCTTAGCTCCATCATACATTTCCTTAATCGCCCTAATGTAAGCAACCGGAACACCTTTAGCCTCTAGGCATCTCTAAAGAACCACTTTAGGAACCTTGTCATATGCTTTCTCCAGATCAATAAACACTACGTGCAGATCCTTCTTCCTATCCCTTTACTGTTCCACCAACCTCCTAATAAGGTGGATATCTTTCGTAGTAGAACGGCCCGCATGAACATGAACTGGTAGTCTGATACCGACACCGTCCTCCTCACCCTCGCTTCTACTACCCTCTCCCACACTTTCATGGTATGACTCAATAGTTTGATACCCCTATAATTGTTGTAACACTGGATGTCACCTTTGTTCTTGTACAACGGAACCACCGTACTCCACCTCCACTCATCCGGCATCCTCTTCGTCCTGAAAATAACATTAAACAACCCTGTCAGCCACTCCAGACCTGCTCTACCCACACACCTCTAAAATTCTACCGAAATCTCGTTAGGCCCGGTAGCTCCGCCCCTGCTCATTTTTTGCATAGCTCCCACGACCTCCCTAACCTTGATGCACCTACAGTACCCAAAATCGTGGTGGCTTTCAGAACGCCCCAACTCGCCTAGCAAAATATCCTCGTCCCCTTCTTTATTCAGAAGTTTATGAAAGTAAGTCTGCTATCTTCGCTTAATCTGGGCCTCTCCCATCAATACTCTACCGTCCTCATCTTTGATGCACCTCACTTGATCCAGATCTTGCGCCTTCCTCTCCCTCGCCTAACCAGCCGGAATTATTTCTTCTCCCTGCCTTTGGCCCCTAGATCCTCGTACAGACGACTAAAAGCCGCAGTCTTAGCCTCCGTGACCGCTATTTTTGCCTCCTTCCTAGCTACTTTATACCTCTCCCTGTTCGCACTCCTCTCAACCTCGCATGTGCTCCCTACTAACTTCAGGTACACCACCTTCTTCGCTTCTACTTTACCTTGGACCGCTTCATTCCACCATCAGTCGCCTTTGTGCCCGCCAGCGAAACCCTTAGAGACTCCCAACATCTCTCTCGCTTCCTCCCGTATATAATCCGTCGTGGTCTACCACATAACATTCGCGTCCCCACTGCTCTTCCAAGCTCCCACGGCTTTAGCCTCCCTTCCAACTCCTGAGCTTTATCCTTTTTCAAGGCTCCCCACCTGATCCTCCGTCGACCGTATGCTGCGTCGCGAGGGTCTCACCCGGGATAACCTTGTGATCCTTACACAACCCTCTGTCACACCTCCTAAGGAGCATATAGTCAATCTAAGTCTTTTCTACCGTGCTCTGAAAAGTAACCAAATGTTCCTCTCTCTTTGGAAACTAGAGTTAGCAATCACCAGCTCAAATGCCCTAGCGAAATCCAACAGCGAAGTTCCTCCTACGTTCATATCCCCAAAACCAAAGCCACCATGCACCTCGCCATAACGGCCTGCAGTCGACCCAATATGACCATTAAAATCCCCTACTAGAAATAACCTCTCAGCAGGTGGAATACTACGCACAATATCATCTAACCCCTTCGAGAAGCGCCTCTTGACCTCCTCATCCAAGCGTGCTTGCGGTGCATACGCACTAACAACATTTAGGGTGCACTCTCCAACCACCAACTTAATAGACATTAACCTATCATTCACCCGCCTAACCTCTACCACAGACTCTCTAAGTTCCCTATCAACCAAAATGCCTACACCATTCTTACCCTTCAGGACTCCAGAGTACCATAGCTTATACTCGTCTGCATTCCTCGCCCTCGATCCAACCCACCGAGTCTCTTGGACACACGCTATATTTTTGTTAAAAAAAATTCACTTAACATGTATAAATAATTTATCCTGAGCCAAGTAAGCTGCCTTTTCTATGAACGAAAATTCATAAACTTAACATCTTATCTCCGTCTCCGATAATGATGTCAAGATCCGAAATCCCAACTGCGGAACTGTGAGGGTGCCTAACGTCCACTTGCTAGTCAAGCCAACATTAGTTCATAGCTATTCATTTTAAAACTAATTTGAAATTAGTTTAATGAGTAATAAAGCTGTAAAATTTCAAAATAAATATAATAACTCCAAACGCTGATTAGTCAAATGCCGAAATCTAGTGTCACCAGTATATGAGCATACTAGAAGTGATACGACCAATGTTTGAATGAAAATACAATTATTTGAAACAAAATAAATAATAAAACTAGACAAGGAAGGGGACTACAGGGACTGCGATCACCATGCAGCTCTACCTCAAGTCTCCAGATGCAGATATTCGTTGCAGTGTGTAACCCTATCCCACACAATAATACACATATCCGTTATGGCGTGCAATCCGATCCCAAACAAATTAAATTAAACGAATAAACTACAACCAACTATGGCATATCTCAAGATAAAACTCAATAAGGGAATTACATAATTAAGGACATAAAGCGAAAAAAATCAGAGCTATCTCACAACACAAAAATTCATAAAGCAAGTAAATACAATCAATAAATAAAGGCACAGATACATGAAAACAATTAGCAATTAAGGCATGCAACGGATAAAGGCATGAATTTAACAAGTAAGGGTAAGTAACAATTAAAGCATTTAACAACTAATAACAGCATGAAATAATTGAAATAAATAAATAAATATTCCTACCCGCATGCTTTACCAATGACTACGTATATACACTCGTCAATTTGCATATACGCCGTCCCAACACACAAATAGAGTAGCATTTAAACTAATCAAGTCCTAATTCCTTCAAGTCAAGGTTAACCACGATACTTACCACTTCCTGCAACCAAATCAATAATCAACCACGACATTTCCTTTTAAATTAGCCTCCAAACCAACCAAATCTAGCAAAATATAGTATAAATAAGTCAAAATAAACTTTTGAAACTACCCACAGATGAAAAAGATTCAATCTTTAATGAAATCCAAAAAAGTCAACAAAATCCCTAGCCCCGCTTGGTCAAAACCTGAGATACAGACCAAAATCCGATTACTGATTCACTGCCGAGCCCGGTTATGTGATTTGTTTAGAAATCTGACCTCAATTTGAGGTCTAAATCTCAATTTAATAATATCCCTAATTTCTACCCAAAACACCTAATTTCTACCATGAAATTCATAGATTAAGGTTAAAAATCAGTGAGTGATTATGGAAATACATCAAAACTAGTTAAAATTTACTAACTAATGAAATTGGGATGAAAATCTCCTCAAAATAACTAGGCG